CTCTCACACACACACACACACACACACACACACACACACACACACACACACACACACACACACACACACACAAAGCATCAAAAATGAACAAACGAAAGCACGAATGAACCCACCTCAGGTCATGTTGGTGCGCTCGATTGCAGAGCCCAAGCGTCAGCGTCCAACCTTTTGGATGCAGAGCCCTTCCCGATGCACAACTCAATCTCCATCTCGACCAAAAGCCTAGGAACAACAATCTCTTTCTGTGCATGTGTGTGTATGTGTGCGTGTGTCACAGAGAGAGAGAGAGGCGTTTGTGTGTGTGTGTGTGTGTGTGTGTGTGCCTGACTGTGCCAGACTGTTTCGTCGGACTTTCACCGACTCATCAGGAGGTAGAACCCCGACATTCTGTGTGTGTATGTGCGCGCGCGCGTGTGTGTGTGTGTGTGTGTGTGTGGGTGTGTGGGTGTGTGTCTGTAGCTTAGTGCCGAGAGGCCAGGGAAGTGCAAACGCTATAGTTGGTTACTAAAAATGTTCCACATGTGCATTGGCCCGCTACAGTTCGCAGGACCAGCGCTGGCCCTGTAGGCACGCGAGCATGCTAATGCGCGATACCGGGGTAGGCACACGGGCCCGGTACAGCGCGTGGTACTGGCACAAGCGTGGCGCGCGGGAGCGTTACCAGCCCTGGCGTGGTGCCGCGGCGGTTCAACTTCTAAGACAAAACAATCAGCAGACGATCGGGACAGTCGCGCAGCAAAAGATCGGAGGGCCTCGATCGTCTGCTTGTCACAGGCAGGAAATGAGCGATAGTTATATATGTAGTGATAGGGGACCATGGCAGGTCTTAGATGTCAAAGGAGAGGCAAATGGTGCATCCTACACGATCGAGATTCCTCCCCACCTGCACACGCACCCAGTACTCAACGCATCTGAGTTGCTTCCCTGTATTACGAACGACCATTTTCCCTCCCGGCGTTCCATGATTCCACCAGATATGGAAGGAGGTTATGATGTAGACTGAATAGTGGTCAAAGATACTTTTGCAATCAGACTCGTTCTCAAACACACTCTTCATGCATGTAAACAGCAACGCAGCATACTGGCGACATGCGCCCACTCAAACTCAGAGATATGGCTTTCAGACACGAGTTCACTCTCAAATGGCTATGTCGACTTCAGCGCCCAAACATCTCACTGTTCACATACACTGGATCACCCTGGATATCCCACACACATCACTCGCACACACTCACTACTAACTACAGCTATGGCAGCTGTTGCTGCATCCAACCTATTGCTATGCTAACTACCTCTCTCTAGCCCACTGCATCCTCTGGGCTCATCTGCAGACCGCCTTGCACAAGTCGCTGTGGCAGCGCTTCCGCATGGCTCACGCAGGAATGAATGAATGGCTGGGCGCTGCCTCTTGATTTATACTTCAGAAACTCGTTGNGCTTCCGCATGGCTCACGCAGGAATGAATGAATGGCTGGGCGCTGCCTCTTGATTTATACTTCAGAAACTCGTTGGTCTGCCCTTTGCCATCGGCCCATGGTGCTTACAGTCCCCCTGTAATACTTGCTGGACCGGATTGGGACTGGACCTTCCGCTGACTGACTGTGGACTCACCGCAATCCTACTGGCGTTGTACTGCTGTTGCACTGCGGTTTAGTCCACCACTTGCCTCACCACTTGACCACTTGCCTACCTTCTAAAAGGTCTACAGCTAAGCTTCCGGAACTCACTAAGACTCCTACGCTATAGACTTACAGATCGAACCCCTGCTGCCTATGGACCTACAACAGGCCTACCAACTGCCTACGAATACACAGGTCATAGGTTCAATTCCCGGGGTCTACACAGATACTGTACATGGGTAGGGTGAGGTCTAGGGATCGAACCCTGGGTACTGCATCCGCTACTGCTAAAAGGTGAAAACCGTTTCACTCCCGCCGTCCTAAATTCGAGGTCCTCCGAGAAAATTTCAGTCCAAGGCGGGACCTTTACCTTTCTTGTCACGCTCATAGGCTCTGACTATGTCGGGAGCAGACTCTAGAAGTTCTGCTTTCGTGAACCGACGGTCGTCTTCCGGTTCCTGATAAGCAAACCGGACCTTATACTGTTTCTGGGGACGACCTCTACCTCCTGTCCTAAACACATCCTCTTCTACAATGCCGTCTATGTCATAGCTCCCATCCATATCCGGTGGGATCATGGATCTCCTGGAAGGGAACTGTTGACTAGTGACACAGGGCAGCAGCTTTGAAGCATGGAACACAGGGTATGTGTGGAGGTGTGCTGGAATCTCAATGCTGTAGGACGGTCCATCCTCTCCGCCCTTGACTTCTAGAACCGGCCACGGTCCTCTATATGCAGACAGTAACTTCTGCGAGATGTTTTCTTGCGGTGCAGACTCTTTTGCTTTGACCCAGACTAAGTCGCCTACTTGAAACTGTGATGGGCGACGGTGCTTGTTAGCCTGCTCTATCATTTTGTGTTGGGCCTTCCGAAGGTTCTCAACAACAGTGGCTAGCTCCTTTTCGTGCTGTATCGCAAACTCCCTGGTGCCGGGCGGTAATCTGTGAATCTGATCCCGGTTCAGTCCTTCGAACTGTCTGCGCGGTCTAAAGGACTTGTGCAACTCATTGGGAGTGCGGCAGGTGGATAGATGCACTCTGTTGTTGTACGCACTAGCGACCTTGGGCAACATCTCATCCCAGTTAATCTGATCTGGTCTAATGTACATGCGCAGAACTTGCTGTAGGATCTTGTTCATCTGTTCTGTCTGACTGTTAGTCTCTGGGTGACGGTCGGACGACATTAACAACTTAGATCCGTAGACTCCCATGAGTTCTTGCCAGTTCTGGCTGGTGAAACGACTATCTCTATCACTAACTATTGACAATGGGATTCCATTCCCACTAACCCAAAAGTCAAAGAACTTCTGTATTACTAAATCTGTACGTGCCTCTGCAGGCAAAGGAACAAAAACTGCATACTTACTAAAACGGTCGACTATGACCATGACTTGGCTCTTACCATGTCTGCTCTTGACTTGCGTGTCCATGAAGTCTATGGACATTGAGTCTCCCGGCTGATCCGGAATAGGCAAGGATCTGAGAAGACCTAGGGGCGCGCGTGTAGTAGATTTGTTTCGCTGGCATACTTTACAACTGCGGACATACTCTATGCAGTCGTTCTTCATCCCTG